TTACATTAAATCACTGTTTCCTCCTGCTGTGTTTACAATGGGCACATTTCATTTAAATTCACTTGCAAGAAACAAATCACTGACAGGAGAGCTAATAATGCAAAAAAAAAACACAGTCAAAAATAAATGGCAAACACTTCATAAATGTGTCGATATGTAATTATAGTAACACTCAAGGCAAGCAGCTCCTCCCGGTGGAGTCCGGTCATTTCCTCGGTCCGACACCAGATACTCGGTACGCTTTAATTAAAAGTGTCAGAGGCTCAGCAAAAAGGCCGGGATCAGGAAAATACTCAAACGCAGGAAAACTGCTAAGATTTGTGGTCGCACAGCTACAGACTGATTCTATAATTCAACTTAGCAAAATATGAATAAAAAAAAGAAATACGTTGACATGTGGGATAGTTTTAAGCGTCTGAGTGAGGGGTTTGGCTGGAAAACGACTAAGACAGACCTAATTACACGGAGGGGGCCGCTGAGAATTAGCGGGCTTTTCTGACAGTTGAAAATAAATAGGGCAGTTAATGAACGTCCTCAAAGGGGAGGAAATGTTTCCTCTCTCTCGCCAGGCTCTCCTATGTGGAGCGGGAGCAGCTATAATGGTTTTAGCCGACACCCGAGTAAGTGAATTTGGAGCCGAGGAGAACAGAGAAGCAAATTAGAGTCACTTCCTCTTTCCTGTAGCCCCGGGCTGACATGACTGATATCAGTCAATAACGGGACCACAGGCGAGGGGCGGCAGAAGGGAGGCAGAGAGGTTTAGAGCAGTGGTTCTCAAACTTTTTTCAATAATGTACCCCCTTTGAAAAAAAGATTCAGCCAAGTACCCCCTGATCAGCGCAAAAACAATGTGTTAAGGAAAAAATGTCTATATAAAGAGGTACATAGGCCTACAGTGCTGCACCATCATTTATTAAAACAACAACATTGTAACTGAGAAACACTTAAATGCTACATTTAAAATGTTTACAATCCATCACTAAATTCATGGCAAACCAATTTTAACATCATGCAATAACACTAAGACGACATTAGTTGCATTGAACTGATCTTTTTAATAAGTTGTACTTACAATTTAGTGAAACATGGGCTCGTGCTTCACTGAGGAACTTTTGTTATTCTCAGTGACAGGAAGGCCACTGCAGTTATTACACTTCGCGTTTTGAAATATGTGTAACTGTTAATATAAAACCCACACTGCTCAAACTTCGTTACTTTTCCAAAAAATGTATTTATTTATGTATTTATTTTGGGGCGTGGGGAATGAAGAGAATCAAATATATGAGCATTTTATGAGCATGGGATTTTGACCCCTCATATACATATGCATAATGCTGCGCTATACTTGCGGCCACACGCCGTTGCCAAGCAACGCTTATTGTTTAGGTGTCCTTTGATAAGCAGGCAGTCATATCATTAGCTAGAACTAGCTAGATCTGACAGATTTGGACATAAACGCGAGTGAAGTAAAACCGGACGCGAGAGAGAGATCAGAGATCAGATCAGCTGCTGCTGACAGAGAACACGCAGCTCTGCATGATCACAGCTCCGCCGCTGTGACGGACCGTTGAGTGGAGCAAAATACACTAAGAGTTAGACCTAACACACTTAGCTAGTTTATCTACTCTGGAACTAGCTAAACTAGTTATAAATATACGTATTCTTTACTGTCGGTTCACTCATTACAGGTTCAGCGAGCTGCACGACTCAAGACTGACGGGCTGTCAGGAGAGGGAGAGGAAAAGAGAGCACCCCGTTTATTGTTCCCATTTTATTATCCAGAATTACTGTAAACCTTTGAATAAAGTAGTTCATCTACTATTAGTAGTTTGTTTAAATGCATTACTTATGTTGTTTTTTTCATTAACATAAAATAAATCTCAAGTACCCCCTGCAGTACTCCAACGTACCCCTAGGGGTCCACGTACCCCCATTTGAGAACCACTGGTTTAGAAGGTCTACTACACACCTTTCAATTAAAAGCAACAGCTAAACGCAGGTTAAACCACTTCAGCAGCGCCTCAAACATTAAGAAATGAATCATTAATTAATTAATCCAATATTTGGTCAAGATGCCAAATATTTGCTGGTCTTCCAAGGATTATGTTCATGCCATGTCTAGGAGCTTTACTCATTTAAATACAAGACAAGAGAACACATTTTACAAGAGTGAGAAAACCAAAAATACATCTCTTGCTATAGCAGAGGAACGGACATCACTATTCTCAGAAAGTTCATTTTAGACGACGAACATAAAACCAGGCCCCGACTATAGTTAACTGAATATAGAATTATTATTATTATTTATGACATTCTTACTTTTATTGGCAAACATTTAACTGTTGTGTTGTGACATGTAAAGTAATATGTTACTTTTCTTTACTCCAGGTTGTAAGTTATGTGTGCAAGGAGTTATGGCTCAAGCTAATGTGAGTTTTATTTTTGGCAAATCAAAAACCTAAAGACAATTTAGTACTCAAGTAAAAAAACGTAAATACATTTCCCAGAATGCAACTCAATAGTGTTGTTTATTAGACATGTCCTTATTATATTATTAAAAGAGGTAGTAGTATTTCTTGTGACAGGCTCACAGGTTTTCAATGATAGACCAAACCATACACCTGTATGTCTCGCTCTCGGAAAATCTGCTTTTAATCTGCAACAAAAAAACACGACCACACTGCAACGAGCTATTGTCAAATTACTACAGGTTATATTTGATATGGAGCACGTTATCACCTACCCTTTACTTACAGGTGACTAGATTAAAAGAAAACAGACAAGGCTATCTCACCATCACATCGCTCAAAATTGAAAGCATCTGACAAAGATCACAATTCATCTTTGTGTCAGTCCGTTCAGACTCAGACTTTTTAAACACATTTCCAGTGCAGAAAACCCTCCAGTTTGACGCACATCACACCTCGAAACATTGTGAGCACGCTGGTTTCTGCACTCAGCCGTCCACATTTGGAGAAAATTAAAACAAATGAAAACCAACACTTCATCTCTGATGTTATTGCTGGTAATGAAGCACTGCTGTGATGCTTTCAGAGTCCTCCCCCCACACACCTCTCCCGCCTCTCCAGAGACTTTTGCCTTAACAAAACACAGACGGGACGGCAGTGAACTACATACTGTGTTACAGCTCGTTCATCAATGTGCTTGAGGTTTTTAACTGCACCGTAATGCAAGAACAGCTCAATAATTAGCATGGATGTTGTACTGAAACACACTGGTTATTCTTACTCGTGCCGGGGGACTCGTTGTTTGTCTTAACACCCCATTTGCTTCTCGTAGACAGCCGTGCAATGATAGGAAACCCTAAGTGGAGTTATAGACGTGTTTTAAAAAAGTAAAAAGGTACACTGGAGTGGTGCTACTGAGGATATGATGTCACAGGCCAGACTAGGAAAGGAAACGACATTGAATAAACTCGATATAGACAAGGAAAAAAAGGTTACGGCACAACTGAAAGCTGCTAAAGTCGAGAATGAGCGATTCATTATGTGATGTCTGAGTCAAAAGGAAATGCCCATAAAAGAATAATCCAAAAAAGGTGTGATCTAAATTCATAGAGGAACCATTAAGCCATTCAAATGTGGCTAATAATGAATCATCATTTTGAGAAACCTCAGTCAAAATGGATCACATTTAAATCACGTGATGGCATGTTGTTTTTGTTTTTAAATGGAGACCACATTTAGCTTCGACTTGAGTTTATGATTTCCTCCATTTCCCAGAATACCCTTCCCCTTAGGAATTAGGTTTAACAGTGTTTTCTTTTATCTGCTTTCTAGGAAGAAAAATCACTTTTCAGATTCTGAGAAACTCACACCAAAGCTGACAGAAACTGATTTAAGTCTCTGAAAACACTTCCTGCTGTCCGACTAAAAGCAGACCCTAAAATGTAACTTTGCTGCTGGCCAACTGTACATAATAAAAACCCAGAAACATGTGAATGGAGTTCCCACCCAACCCCAGCTGGGCGCAGGGCAGAAAACACACACTCAGCTAAAGGAAAGGCTGTCCAGTTTTTTAAAGAGCAGAGTTTCATTCTGTGTGGTTTTCTTCAACAGAAGGGCCGTACCCAGAATGCACCAGTGATGATTTCTGGGTACATAACTGATTACACTCACCACCAGCAGCAGCTATTAACATATCGTTTGTTTGATAGCAGAATGACCACCAGATCACTTGATTATCCTCTCTTGTAAAAAACACCCAGCCATGCAGGAAAGTGCTGCAATACATTCTAAGATAATCAATGTTTCCTGATTTATAGCAGCAATCATCGATATGGGAAAAACAATTCAAGACTAATGATAAATGTCAGATCTTCATACTTCCTAGCTTTCTATGATCAATAAACAACGTGCGCTACAGGTTAATTAAGTTTGAATAGAAACCTCATGAAAAGGATATAATGTACTAACATTCAATACATTTCATATATATTAAATATATTAAATCCATAATCTCCCACTTTAGAGATAACTCTGTTTTCATATTCAAGCTTTAAATCTAAGTAATTAAAGCTGACAGATCGATGTATGTACAATATGTCTCTGAGTGGAGTAGAACTATACAATTGCATACAATGGAAATACTCCAGTAAAATGCAAGAAAGCCTACTTCCAATGTGTACTTAAGCCAATATGCTTCATTACATCACAACAATGTTGCTGTGAGCTGTTTTGTATTTAATAAAAGCTGAAATGCTGCTTTACAGACAGGCAAAGTCACTACGACAGATACAAATAGTTTAATTACAATTAAAATTAAACTAAATGACCTTCACTCGGCTTGAACGAGGAGACAAGCACCGTATTAACGAGTTTAAAATGCTTTTCTATTAAGATAAATTGTTAACAAATAGAAACTGACTGAAACTGTGTCCCAGCAGTCAATGTGGAAACAGGAGCCATAGTAACGGTTCAGATTGCGTGACAACAGCTGATGTCAAATAAATGTCGGGTAAACAACACATTATCTAATACCTTGTTTCCCGAGCATGCAGCAGAGCAGAGGAGTCTTTTAGAAGAGTTAAACTTGTGAATTAATCCGAAGAGATGCTTCATATTAGTCCTCACGGGGAGCGCCATCTTGGATAGTGACCTCACAGTACGGTGGCTTTGAAAGGACAAAAGGGACAGAACAGTGTGTTTTCATTTCATTCACATATAGGATACATTGATTTTATCATGAAATGCTCACGTCATAATAGGGTTGTTTGTTTTTATATATAATAGAGTGATAAAGAAATATATTTATGTTTATTTAAGTATCTATTAAATGTGCATTTATCATCTGAAAACACATTTTTCAAGGCAAGTTTATGGCAAGTTTATTTATATAGCACCTTTCAACACAAGGCAATTCAAATGTTTTTATTTTATTTACCACTTTATTATGAACATCTATGATATGTTTGTATATTGTTTTAAACAGCTTTCAATTCAATTATATTGTTTTGCACCAACAAAAGCTTTAAAAAGTACTATATTAAAAAAAATTGTAAAATGGACTGTACTTATATAGCACTTTATCCAGTCTCTAAGACCCCTCAAAGCACTTTACATAGTCATTCACCCATTCACACCCATTCATACAGAGCACCTTACTCTAGGACCTAACATTCACACAGCGTTGGCCATGCCATCAGGAGCAACTCAGGGTTAAGTATCTTGCCCAAGGATACATCGACATGTTGACTTCATGGGCTGGGATCGAACCCACAACCTTCTGGTTGAAAGACGACCGCACTTCCTCGCAGCCAGTCGCCCTATTAGCATCAAAAATGTAGTTTGGCAAAGGCACTGTATCGTGTTGCATAAAGCAAAGTTCCAATAGTTACACCCACAACAACTTAGCATTAATAAAATGGAAGTTTAGTCACAATAAAAGGGGAAAAATAAAGATATTGCAGACAGTTGCTTAATATTCTTGCAGGACATATTGTGGCCCACCCCTCCAACCCAGGACCGAGACTTTCTTCCCTTCTGCAACGTGCCTAATAAACAAGGCCACGGACCCCCACTGACACAGACCCTAACCCCCCTCCCTACATACAAACTATACTTATTACATTAACAACTTCACTGTCTATATGCAGTAGATTAAGACACATCTTTGGGACCATACATCTGAACATTGGATGTTTCTACTCATTTGTACATAGCTACAGTGTAGATATGTCAATGAAAATCTTAGGTCAGAGGCTCCTCCTAAAGTGCAACACAATAAAACAGATAAAATAGTGCAAGTAAATACAAATTTAAATTCTCAGACAATTTTGCATATTTCTGCCCAGCCTATCAACAACTGAGCAGCTATTTAATTTTACTTCAGAGAATAAACATACTTTCATATTGTCAAAGTTTGGATACATTTTTTTCTATACATTATTTATTTAGTTGCAATCTTTTTTTAGAATATTTAAATATTTTATTGTAATTTTCTTCCAATTTCTTGATTTTTTGTTATTATATATTGTTCATGTTCTCTTACTGTGATTAGGTCATGCTTCATAACACCAAAGCAAAATGGTAGTATGTTGAGACCTGCTTGCCGATATTTCCGAATATGGTTCATGTACCAAACCTTGCCACCCAGGACTTCCTCCTCTCTTACTGAACCGAACACCAGCTGCACTGTTCGGTCGGTCTGAGCTCAGTGCAGCCTATGGAAGAGGACGATGTGTAATTACACTCACCCAGCACCACATGTACAGTAACAGTAGGCTATAGAAATGTGTCAGACATGTGTTTCCTTATTGTCTGAGGTCTGTATGTTAATTGGGTGGTGTTGTGTCTAGGCCTGGCTGCTTCCTCAACAACTCAGCTTTCCCAGGGAGGCAGCTGCAGGAATATTCCATACATGCCTCATTACAGAGTGGCGATATACATACTATAAGTGATTATTCTGCACGCTGGCTAGGGTTACAATATGTTTGCAGGGCACGCTGGCCGCTCCTTAAAGACCTCTTGTTTCTCCAACATCTGCTCCTGATTTTTTCCACTCCACCTTTTGCATCTGGTTGCATTTGCAGCACAAAATACTGACTATCATTCCATATTCATTATTATTTCCCGAGGCGCTGGGGCAGAGCTCTTTGGTGTTTCTCTTGTCGAGACCTGAGCTGCTCTGTTCTCTCACGCCTGGGTGATGGGAGATGGGTCTGTGTGTGTGTGTGTGTGTGTGTGTGTGTGTGTGTGTGTGTGTGTGTGTGTGTGTGTGTGTGTGTGTGTGTGTGTGTGTGTGTGTGTGTGTGTGTGTGTGTGTGTGTGTGTGTGTGTGTGTGTGTGTGTGTGTGTGTGTGTGTGTGTGTGTGTTTCCTGTGGCCACCCAGTAGAGGTTGGTCCTCCTCCACCTCTTAGGCTAAGAGAAATTCCTCTCCTTAAATCCAGAGAAGTATTTTTTTTATTTCTCAATTTTGTTTGTGTGAATCTCATGGAGAAATATCTAGCACCAGAGCTAAGTGTTCCTGATGAACAAATCAATTCATACAGAGGTCACCAATATAATATTAAAGTGCACAGTGCATGATGGTGTAAGGTACTTTTCATTAAGTCAGCCATCGGCATGCAAACATTATGTCGGTTTGAAATGCAGTTCAATTGTTGATCTAACAGATTAATATAATGAAATAACCTGTTATAAACTGTGTCAAAGAAATGTTGACAGTGCCTACATTGAAAAAGGATGTCATCTGTAGAAATTGATGCACTTAGTTTATAACAAAAACAACATTTTGGACACCCAAAATTCCTGGGGAAAATCACAAGCGGTGCAATAATGAGATTTAGAAGAAGCACCTGCAATCAACGCTTATCGCCTTACAGTGTAAATGCTGCCAAAGAGAACGATACAAAGATCTGTGAGATTGTAACTTTGAGTTGTTGTCATAGGGACACTTTATGATTCAATGTTCTGACTCGTAATATTTCTTTTTTAATTATTGACACGTTCTGCAGCATGACGTACCTGTCACTAGCCTACCTGTTTTTAGAGAAAGACTTTTTCAGTCTCTGTTTCACTGGGAATTAAAGTGTGAAAAAGTGTCCATCGCTCAGTTTGAAGCAGCAGCAGAAGCAGAAGCTCAGCGGTGAGATCTCCAGAGGAGGCCGTGATGAGGTGATGAGTGAAGACCTTCTGCTTTCATCACAAAGCCGCTCTCCTTTCACCATCATGGAGATTCATTTTTCATCCTCACCAGACTCTCTGCACCTCCTGCTGCTCCTGCTCATCCACCCAACCTCACATCTTAACTCCTTTTCTCAACACCTTCTGGATATGAGTCTGCATACGCTTTTTTATTATACTGCTACAAGTACAGTTTCTAGGTACCTTCATTTCATTGCATACTTATTTTCAGAGGCAAATATTATATTTGTATACCAATACATTCATTTATTAAATTGTTTTAGATTAATATTATTAAGGAAAAGTTCACAAGTTACCTAGAGATAAAGTATACTAAGCAGTTGCAATAAGCTCCACCTGTACCTGCTGCAACATTAGCACATCAATAGGTATTGTGAATATATAATACTGAATATTATTCACCAAACTTGTGAATGGGCACTTCACAAGTTTGGTACTTTGAGTATATTTCTCAATTTTTTAGGCAATTCAATGTTTTTGATTCATACTTAAAACTGTTGGATGCAAGACTTGTACTGTATTGTAATAGAGTATTTTTCCAATGTGGTTTTAGTACTTTTACATAGTTCATTACTACATCAGAGTACTTTTGTATTAATTTCTTACTCTTCTTCTGGTGCCAAATATTTTTCTCATTTTATAATTTTTGTTATCAGACCAAGCATAACACATCTAATTGTGTAAGTGTTCACATTCATAAACATATGAATATAAACTGTATATATGCATACATGTAATAAAATTAATATACACAATCCTTTTTCAACACACACATTTCGCTACTTTTTCTCACACACATGCTAACCCCGAGTTTGTGCTGGTAGGAAAGTCCAGCTGGTAGCGACGACACTCCACCTGTCATAATACAGCCAGGCAAGGCATGATGGGAAGGTCTGCTGAGTGAGGGGCTGGGAGATGTGTGTGTGTGTGTGTGTGTGTGTGTGTGTGTGTGTGTGTGTGTGTGTGTGTGTGTGTGTGTGTGTGTGTGTGTGTGTGTGTGTGTGTGTGTGTGTGTGTGTGTGTGTGTGTGTGTGTGTGTGTGTGTGTGTGTGTGTGTGTGTGTGTGTGTGTGTGTGTGTGTGTGTGTGTGTGTGTGTGTGTGTGTGTGTGTGTGTGTGTGTGTGTGTGTGTGTGTGTGTGTGTGTGTGTTCTGGACTCTGGATCCTGATGCTGAAAGACAGGGTCTCCCCCCTGACACTGCAGGACGTCCACCACCACCCAAGTGGACGGATGGACGGACAGCGAGCAGAATGACGGACAGCTCCACAAACAGAGCATGTGTTGGCGGAGTAAGACGGACAAATGAGTGACGGATGAATATAAACTAAAGTACAGATGCACAAACAAATGTCTCGATGGATTTATGCAACGTCTTTCCATGAGTCAAACTTTATTTATGGAGCAGTTTTCATATGTAAAAGGTAACATAAAGTGCTTTACACTTTTAACATTTAAAAAACTAGAAATACCAATACCTCCTCCAAATCCATAGACGGAGCAACACATAACCTTGTGTTAATCAAAACGCTGAATACCAACAGAACTCAATATACGCAGGACTGAATGGACATTGAGTGAAAAGTATGAACTTCAACAAATTAGACGATCGCTGCAACGATAGAGTTTAGTCAAAGGGATTGTTAAAAAAAAAATCTGATTCTGTGCAGAAAACGTGTCGTGATTGAATTGTCGAGTGACCGCAGCGCCCCCCTCGGCCTGTTCTTAGAGTCAAGAACAATAAACATTCAGTAAAGTATTTTGTGTAAATCAATGTTTGCTTCTTCAGAGAAGAATCTAGATTGCATTACTAATTTGTGTAACTGTGAGACAAAGTGTGCGTTTGACATGCCATCTCATTTGTGTCTGAATATGCATGTGTGGTTTAGTTTGTGTAATGTACGGCTTAGTCAATATAACATTATATACAGTAGGATGTAGAGGATTGTATAGATTTTGCTAAG